GATGCTATTTTAACCAAATTTCCTAATGAAATATCTCTAAAGTTGGCTACTTTTGAGTGTGTGTTAGGAGTCTATTTTATACATTAGTAGTGATTATTATTGTGTGAAATAGATATCAGCCCCAAATATAATAAGAGTGTGTTTATCTCTTATTCATTATTTGGTTTATCCATCCTTGTTCTCTATCCATTTCGTTCCTCTCCATTTTCTCTTCCTAAACCACATTCTATTCTATCTTCATAAATCAAAACACCAAAAAGAACTCCTTCATCACCGCCATATTTACCCCGTCATTTCCAACAATCGATTATCATAAAAGTGATAATCAACTATCGGGCATCTCTAAACATTCGTGGTTTTGGAAATCATATCTTGTTAATCGATTATCAGTTAATGATAATCGACTATCACGCGTGTCTGAACTTTGGAGTTCAAAGTTTTTTCCTTCTTGCGTCCATTTCCTCCGTAAACCCGCCATCAAATTGATTACTTGATAAGACCCCGGGTCTCGGGTACAACAGATAGGGCCTAGCCCGGATATAACAAAGGCTTTGGGAAAGCCTAAACACGAGAGTCATACGTGGTCCATAGGCATTCGTGAAATGCTTGATTGGCCTTAGGGCAAGTGGGAGATTGTTGTATTTAGGTGCCCTAGCGGCAATCAAATACCTATGTAACGGTACACTTTATCATGAATGAAAGGCCTTGAAGTATGTTTTATATCTCGTGTAACATAACATAGCTTCAACCCATAGACGATAATGCTTCTATAACATAGATAAGAACTACGATATTCTTATTAAGAGACTGTTACTTCTTGACGAAGACTATGTCTAGTATGTGTGTGTGTGTGTGTGTGTGTGTGTCTATATATATATATATATATATATATATATATATATATATATATATATATATATATATATATATATATATATATATATATATATATATATATATATATATATATATATATATATATATATATATATATATATATATATATATATATATATATATATATATATATGGGATTGACTCCGGTGAGATGACACCTTGTGGTAAGATGACATGTTTCAGTCAGATGACGCTGGAGCTCACCACTGATCACTGCAAAGCTCACCACTGCAAAACTCACCACTGTCCACTGCAAAGCTCACCATGATTTTCCAACACTTAACTTTTTTTTTCAAAATTTGATGGTTAAATGCTTACAAAGCCCAGCAACAAAGCTCACTGACTCTCATAGCAAAGCTCACCGAATATGTGCACAAAGCTCACCACACTTTAAAGTTTAAAATGATTTCGAAAAAAAACAAAGGGTGGTGGTGCTGACTTCCAACCGCTGCAGACTACCGCCGTGGACTGATGGTTGTCCGGTGGTGCAATTTTATTAGCTTTTTTTTAAAAAAAAAGTGGTGAGCTTTGCATTGTTCCTTGGTGAGCTTTCCATTGACAGTTGGTGAGCTTTGCATTGACACTTGGTGAGCTTTACACTTTGACCGCCCATGACCAATGGCCAACCCTGGTGACCCCCACTGTTGCCGTGGACCGGTGGTAGAGCGGTGGTTGACTGGTGGTTGAGTGGTGGTGCTATTTTTTAACTTTTTTTATTTCAAAAACAAAAGTGGTGAGCTTTGCATTGACAGTTGGTGAGCTTTGCATTGGCAGTAGGTGAGCTTTGCATTGGCAGTTGGTGAGCTTTCCATTGGCAGTGTTGTGTGTTCTGTCATCTGATTGAAGCATGTCATCTTACCATAAGGCGTCATCTCACTAGAGTCAATCCCTATATATATATATATATATATATATATATATATATATATATATATATATATATATATATATATATATATATATATATATATATATATGGGATTGACTCCACTTTCGGTTAGATGACACTTTCGGTCAGATGACAACGAATGCTCATTCTGAATCAATGTAGTGCTCATTCTTAAACAACGTAGGATTCATTCTCACACAACTGTTCATCACAATGTAGTGTTCATTCATAGCCAGCGAGACGACAACATAGGGTTCATTTTGAATCCACGTAGTGTTCATTCTAAGACATTGTAGGGTTGATTTTCACACATTTGTTCATTATAAACGTAGTACTCATTCTGAAAGAACCTAGTACTCATTCACAGTCTGCTCAGTGCAGTGTTCATTCTGAATTAAGGTGGTGCTTATTCTCAAACAAGGTGGTGCTCATTCTGATGCNCCATGGGTGATAGCATGAACGGCCTTGAGATCCTCGTTGAAGAGACACGTGTGGCTACCGTCCCGGGGGCGAAGAATCCAGGTGAGGATGTAGAGTAGAAGACGCTTCTCCGGTGGGGCTGAGTGAATGGTTGGTGCGCCGCTATGACGGACGAGGTTGGTGATTCCAAGCTCTCGGATGACCACCGCCTCGTTGTTTAGGATCCAATCATCGCCGCCATAGGTTGAGATGTCGTCACCGCGAGTGGGCAGCCCTGCGACCCGAGCGAAGGTAGCCAAATCAATCTCTATGTCATAGAGATTGATGTTACTGCGAATGGTGTCTCCGTCCCGGCGGAGATTGGAGTAGAAAGCCCGGACGTAGGCGGGATTGTAGGACTGACGGCTTCTGGAGACGAACGGCCACAAACCCGACTCTTTGAGTTGATTGTCGAGGTCGTGGTACCCCTTTTGTTGAGGGTATAACTCGGGCAGCACTCTGGGCGGAGAAATTAGACGTTTGGCGAAGTGCGAGAGAAAACGTGTGAGTTCCTCCTCTGACCCGAACTCCAAGAAGGAACCGTCGAGATATGGAAAGTGTTGAGGCGCAGATGACGTAGCCTCGGTGGTGACCTTCTTCTTCGAAGCCTTTGTCTTCTTTCCTCCGGCCATGGTTGTGGCGTGTTTGAAAAAAAGAGATGAAATATTTAGATTAGAATCAAGGAATGAGATTATAATGATTATGGTGTATAGAATTAGCAAATATGGTGGATATATATAGGAACAATAGGATTTGGCCATTTGGATTAAAAAAATATAGCTGTTGGGCCATAAATGCTGTCTCGAACGGTTCTGAAAATTTGAACTGCAACCGCCTTCCCAGCGATGGTAGGATCTACCCATCGATGGGAAGGTCGCTACTGGAAGGCGAAGGAGAAAGTAAGGCTGCATTCCCAGCGATGGTAAAACTCACCCATCGATGGGAAGGGCGCTGTTGGAGATCCGATAAAATGTTTTTAAAAAATTGTGTCAAACACCCAGCGATGGGAGAAAGTTCCTATCGATGGGAGGGGAGGTTCTGAAAAAATTATTTTTGACAAAAGTCCTTCACCCAGCGATGGGATGAAGTACCCATCGATGGGTAATGTGTTTCTGGAAAACGTTAAAAGGTTTTAAAAAAAATAGAGTCAATTACCCATCGATGGGAAGAAGCACCCATCGATGGGAAGAGGGGTTCTGAAAAAAAAGACACTTCCCTCCCAGCGATGGTACAACCCACCCATCGCTGGTTCCCCCTGATTTCCAGAATTCTTCACTTCGAACCGTCCCTGCAAAAAAGAGTTAGAAAACCCTCCGACGCTCAAGTTAGTAAACATTCAAACAAAGATAAAAGAGTGATAAAATGCACAAATTAGATCATCGTGGAGTCAAGGATTCCGAGTTCACTACGAATGCGGAAGAACGACTCTTTCTCTAAAGGTTTTGTGAAAATGTCGGCTAATTGGTTGTGTGTTTCAACAAATTCAATATCGACATCACCTTTGAGAACATGATCTCTAATGAAATGGTGCCTAATGTCAATGTGTTTCGTCCTTGAATGAAGAATGGGGTTCTTCGTCAAGCTTATGGCACTAGTATTGTCACACCGAAGTGGAACGTGACTGATACTAAGGCCATAGTCCACAAGTTGTTGCTTCATCCAAAGAGTTTGAGCACAACAACTACCGGCGGCAACGTATTCCGCTTCGGTTGTGGATAACGCAACACTGACCTGTTTCTTGCTAAACCATGAAACTAAAGAACTACCAAGTAAGTGGTAAGTCCCACTCGTACTTTTGCGGTCCAATTTGCAACCGGCAAAGTCCGAGTCGGAGTAACCAACAAGATGACACGAGGAGCCTTTAGGATACCACAGTCCAACGTTAACCGTGCCTACAAGGTATTTCATGATCCGTTTCACCGCCGTTGAGTGCGATTCCTTCGGGCATGATTGATACCTTGCGCAAAGGCATACGCTAAACATGATATCCGGCCTACTAGCAGTAAGATAAAGAAGGGATCCGATCATACCTCGATACTTTTTTACTTCAACTTCCTTACCTTTTTCGTCTTTGTCTAGGTGGTCGGACGTGCTCATCGGGGTCGCCATTGCTTTGGCGTTTTCCATTTCGAATCGTTTTAGGAGCTCTTTGCAGTATTTCGTTTGGCAAATGAATGTGCCATCTTTCATTTGCTTGACTTGGAGTCCCAAAAAGAATGTAAGCTCACCCATCATGGACATCTCAAATTCGCTTGTCATTAACGTTGAGAACTCCTTGCACAAAGACTCGTTAGTAGCACCAAATATAATGTTGTCTACATAAACTTGAACCAAAAGGATGTTATTGTTTTTACTCTTGATAAAAAGTGTAGTGTCAACCTTTCCCCTTTGGAAACCACTATCCAAAAGAAATATACTCAAACGTTCGTACCAAGCACGTGGTGCTTGTTTAAGACCGTAGAGCGCTTTCTTGAGTTTGAAGACGTGATCGGGAAACTCAAAGTCCTCAAACCCCGGGGGCTGGTCAACATACACTTCCTCTTGAATAAAACCATTGAGGAAGGCACTCTTAACATCCATTTGATAAAGTTTAAAATCCATAGACGAAGCAAAAGCAAGAAGTAAACGAATAGCTTCTAAACGTGCTACAGGTGCATA